AGGTCTTTTGCTTCGAATTATCATTTAAGCAAGCACTGAGTCTACTTATAAATGCATGGATAAATGCCCTCACCAGGAAGAAAATCAGTGTACGGAACAGCCCAATCTATGTTTAAATCAGCATGCAAGGGTAATTCCGGGAGAAGACAGGTTTATTTTTTTTTGGAAATAGGGGTTGATCTGGAAGCCCTTCAGTGCATTTGTTCAAAATATACGTATTCTTCTCCATAGTTAAGAGGAGGGCAGAAATAATGAGTTTTGCAACTTTGCATGGTGCTGATTGGCTGACTCCAGTGATGTCATCAAATGACACCAAGAAATAGGATGCAGAAATTGAGCCAGTGTTAAAGGATGAAACCATTTACAGCTGCACTAGAACAAAGAGCCAAGATGCTGTTCTGACCTTACTTAGGAAGAGTTTCAGCCAACAATAAGCCTTTTATAATAGTTCCAAACCATGTTTGATTTGGGGGCAGGGGGAGGTTGGAACAGTCCAAAACTTAAGAACATTGTCCAGGTAGTTCCTCCAAACTTCAGTTCTATGGCTCACCAGATGGAAGAGCTACGCATAAGAATGAAAGTTGCCAATTCTAGCTCAGGTGGTTCCTAACATCAAATAAAAGCCTCCTCTCCTCAGCTTTACATGTCAAAAAATTACTTATTTTTAATTATTAACCTTATATTACTTTATATTTTAATAAGTATTAAAATTACTTATTTTTAATTATGAACATACACACTTTAAAAAAAAAGTGGATAGACTGCTTGAAATGAGGGCTGGGGGAATGCCCCTGGGGTCAGGTCTAAAGAACAGACTTGCTTCTACAAACTCCAGACTAGATTAAAGATCACAAGAAGGAGGCGAGTGACAATTCACAAGCAAGAAGAAATGAGTGGCCTGTCCCTCTAATGAAAGTGGCAGCACCATCTAGATGCAGAACTGCATCAGGTTTGAGCATTTTTCAAATCTACAAGAGCCATCACTTTCTAATGCTGTTGATTGTCTTACACATTTTGACTGAATTAGGTTTGTTTTAAACTGCATTTAACTCCTTTCAAATGAGATTCTGTCAACCCAGTGTTCCCCCCAATAAATCCTCATGGGGATACAACGTGTCATCCCCCCTGCCCCGGTTCTTACTTCAGACTTATATTTCTATTCCTCATATGGTATAGTATCCAAGAGTTTGGTCAAAAAAGCCCTAGTTCATATCTCTTCTTAGCCATGAACCTGCTATGCAGCCTTAACTGCTACTATACTCTCATTACAGAGATGGTGTTGAGGCTAAGAGAGTAATAAACAGATTTGTTGTAAGGGTTACCAAGAACATCGTATAATTACCAACAGTTTAAATTCTAGTTATTTCTTCTTTTGAGCCACTCATTTCTGCACACTGATTTCAACCATTTCAACAGTAATGCACAAAACATCCAAGTTGTTGGAATTCAGCGTGCACACCTGTGAAAAATAAAACTGAACAAATGGTATTACTGGAATTTACACTAGACTTTTTAAAGTCTAGATAAAGACTTTTTGTTAGATAGAACTACTGTTGATAGGTATACTGTTTAGTGCTTTTGAAGTGGTGAAAAACCCAATAAAACTGTCATGAAACCACTTCAGAGAGGGGGAATTATGGAATACAAGTTCTAAACAGAAAATATGCTGTTTTAGACAAAACGCCCAAAGAAGATGACCAACATCTTAAGAGTTATTATGCAGAACTTAGAAAAGCTCAGTTCCACCCAGTAATGCAGACTGATTACTGAGCTCCTCCGTTTCAGTTTATGATTCTGATTACAGTTGTTAAATTTCTGCTAAAAACTTACTTAGTTAAAATATATATATATATATATATATATATATATATATATATTTGTGAAATACTGTTGATTTTTAAAAAAATCCATGGAACAGATTTCTTTCACAGTAAAACCAACAAAATAGAGCAATTGTTAAATATGGCAGAAAATCAGGCACTGCATATTTTTCAGGAAGCTAAACTGTCTAAGAAAAAAGTAAAAGGATGACAACATAAAATTAAGGTATGCCATTGAGGATGCAAGAAAAATAATAATCACATTCTAGTGTCCATTTCTCTCACATGCATGGATTCCAGCTACCTTAATGATTTTAAGAGTTACTGTAAGTAATTTTAAGAGAAGCTTTGAACAAATTCTAGCTTTCAGTTGTTTTCAACTGTAATTATTATTATTTATTTGATTTCTACCCTACTTTTCTACCAAAACAGCGTTAAGGCAGCTTGATCAGAAATCAGGAATACTTTACATGACCATGTGTTTTGATGCTTTAAATTTTAAAATATCTAGTAATAGCCACTGTTGCCTCTCAGCTGCTGGCACTGAGTAATTTAAATGTTTCTCCTCAGTAAACCAGTGGGTGATGGGCTTCAGATTATGTGCTATATATAATTTCTAGCACATCAAAAAATCAGAATTAATCATGACAAGAAAACCCCTCATAAAGTTTGGGTTGTTTATTGTTCTCTCAGTTTCCCCGCTCACAGCAAAATTAATTCAAATGTTTTAATATTTTAACTGCACCTGTTCGGATATAATGTCAGCATCCAGAATCAATTGCAGGAATTATCCCTGAATTGTGGGAACACACACTGGGGTTGTTTAACCCTTGCACAACTGCAAATATCCCTGCTTGGCTCTCATGGAAACAACACTTGAGGATAACATTCAAGAGCTATTAGTGCAAATATAATTGCTGCTGCAATGTCTCCACAATTCATGGGATCTTTAACCCATGGTTTGCTACTGGACATCCAAACAGGGCTAGAGGCTTCCAAATCCCCATCTGTTGGAATAGTTTATCTTGAAAAATACTGGTATTTATGGCATGAGTAGGGGTAAACACATCAGTCATAAGCCAATGAATCCCACAGCTGACATCAAATGTGTAAGAGGGTAATGTTCTTACATTTTAGACGGTGATATTTTGTTTAACATAGGCAGAACAAAAAAATAACTATCAAAGGATATCCTAGGGTGTAAAAATATGCAAGCTTTTGATCTACTCAAAAGGTTTTTGCAAAGCTGGCTGGTTAGAAAAGAGGTAGTCAGCTCTTTAGCTAGACACAGAACAAGATCCCTGGTTTATTTTTTAAACAGCAAAATAAAGTGTAGGTGTTTTAGCTACTGCTATTGGTAGGGCCACTGTGTTGAGAGGCAGAAACCATGACATTCTTAATCGGAGCCTTTCAGCATGCAGAACTCATCGTAAGGAAATCTGGAATTTTTACTGGAACTGTTACCAGTGATTGCCACATTCCTGAAGCTCTCCTATACAAGCATAATGTCAACAAAGAAGACTGAGTGCTGATGTAATGTCTGAGGACAGGCTATAGAGTCAAGATATTTTTTTTTTATTTTAATCACAGTTTCAGGGAGCATACATAAACTTGTGCTCATAAAAGGCATCTATCAGTGAATTTAATCATAAGGGACTTGAAATGTTGTTGTACATAAGACAAAGTAAAATTTGATTTCAGGACCAAGCAAAAGGAAAGAGGAAGTACAACCAGGAATTAACTTGGTTGAATATCCTAGACAAATAACTCGAAGTCCACTAATTTAATACTAATCTTCAGTACATGATCTGCTTTTAAGGTTGTTGATTTTTCACAGTGAGCTCTTCTTTTTGCAGCTTTCTTCCTCATATAGAAGGGGTGAAAAACCTCTTTCATCCTGAGGAACAAATATCATTTTGGATAACTTCTTGGAGCTTCATTGTGGGTAAGACTAAAGCCAAAGGAGGCAGGACCAAAGGCAAAAAGGAATGATGCCAAACTTGGACAAGATCTATACAGAGAGAGCTCTTACTGCTAGTAATTAAGTCTTGGGAGAGGCATCTCAACATTTTGGAAAAACTTCACAAAAATGGGAAACCACCAAATGATTAGTGGTTGGGGAAATGGGGTGGGCCCAGGAGAAAGAACCAGGCCTTCTGGGGAACCCTGTACAGCTGGACTGAGACCTTGTGCCTGAGATTCCCTGCCCCATCAACTAGGATACACACATTTCCAAAAGCACCAGTTTTTCACATCTCTTCTCTCTTCACCCCTTCCTTGCCATACCTCCCACCCCAGTTCTTTCCCCTAAGCAACAAAGGAAACATTTTTCACTTTAAGAAAAAGGCCCTGCTCCTAACATGATCCATCTCCAGTCAGGACACAACTTCAGTGTAGATCATGACCCACTCAATGGTTTCTAGCCCAAACAAAAAAATAAACAGAGGCTTTTACAATAGTTTTAAAGATTAGCTCCAACCATCTCAAACCAAGTCAGTGTAAATATGCCAAGCATGCTTCTATGTTAACTTCTGCACAAACAAAAGCACCATTCAGAAATGAATATCTATCTAGTGACTGCTCTTTATGGTATGCAGTTTGTCTGCAGCTATTTGATGTGCAGTATGGCCAGTCTTTATAATGTCAAGTAAGGAGGTGAAAAAAGCACATCCTGGTGGCAAGCCAATGTATATAACTTTCCAGGTGGTAGGTGAGGCCTCTGCAGGCTGTTTTAAGCCGACTCTCTTAAGATAGATGGATGGCGTGAAAACAGCCTGAAAGATCACATCAGCATTTAGGCTTAGTAGGAAAATACTTCCTCCCCCCCCCCCGCCTCCCTGGCTAGTTCAAAGGTCATACCAGTATAAGGTTGTGAAGGGAGTGTCTGTCTGCAGCCAGAGATCCTTAGGTTCTCATCACTGTGCAGCTCAGTGGAGGACCCTGGACCCATCACCATCTCACAGCCTACATCTCCTCACTGGGTTGGCTAACTCTCTAGATATGCTGGCCCGTGTATGCCTTCTTTCTTCACACTCATGTTACACAAATTGATTTTGTGTTTTAAGTGGGGGTGGGACCTATGTCCAGGTACATCTACCCTGAGTTCTAATAGCATACCTTAAATGCACTTGAAATACTTATTTCTACAGTTTTTGTAACTTAGCAAATAATGCCTTTTACCTGATCACGATCGCCTGCAAAACAGCAGCTTTTCATGGTGCAAGAGTTAAAGTAACCCTGGTTATCAAACTGGAAGACAGGTAGACGGGAGTGGATGTCATAAAGGACTGGTGGCAGTCGACGTCTGAGAGCAAGCAGCTGTGTTCCATTGCTGTTAAACCGCACACTCATGGCACTCTGAAGTGATAGGTTTCCACCATACCGAAGCAGGGAACTAGAAAACAGGAAACCAACCAAGTTCAAATATTTTAGCTACCATAACGTATGTAACTGCTACCCTCCTTTATCAGAAAACCAAAGCAAAAGAATGCAAGGGAGACAAAAGAGCTGCATATTATATTCAGAAAATCGAAACATGTTCCTGAAGGTAGGGGAGATGTACTGGGAGACCAACGGCAAAACACCTGAGCTCGAAAATTCATGCATTCCATTTCATTGTATTTACTGTATTTTACCCTGCTTTTCAGCTAAAAAAGGCTCCCAGTGCAGCCTACAAAACCCTCAGGCTTACAATCTAAAAGAACAATTTAAAGGGGAAAATGTTCTTGCATGCAAATAAATCTCAAGTAAGTAGCCAAAGTAGCCATTTGGACCATTTTAAAAGGCAGCTCCACATACAGCACACTGCAGTAATCCAAATGAATGGTTACCAAAGATGGATAACTGTAGTTAGGCTCTCTGTCCAGATAGGGTCATAGTATATCAGCTTAAGTTGCTTGTACCTCAAGTGACAACTCTGGATCCAAAAGCATGCCTGAACTATAAACCTTTCCTTTAGGGAGAGTGCAACTCCATACAGAACAGGCTGACTATCACCCAACAGGACAGATGGACCACGCACAAACAGCACATCCATTTTGTTTGGAGTCTCAGTTTATTGTCCCTCATCCACTCCATTACCAGGCTCAGACACTGATTCAGAGCAGCCACTGTCTCATCTGGATTTGATGAAAAAAAGGTAGAGCTGAGTGTCATCTGCCTATTGGTGGTATCTCAGCCCATATCTCTGGATAACCTCCCCCAGTGGGTTAAATAGCAGAGGGTTAAATAGCTAGAACGTGGTGGTACCCCATGGCATAACTGCCATAGCACAGAACAATAATTTTCTAGCACCACCTTCTGGAATTGGCCAGTCAAACAGGAGCAGACCCACTGCAATGAAGTGTTTCCCACTCCTGGCCCAGCTAGCTATCCAGGATACCACTGCTGATGGTATCAGAAGCCACTGAGAGGTCCAGGAAAATTAACAGAGTCTCACTCACCCTGTCTCTCCCAGCAATGGTCATCCCACAGGGTGACCAAGGCAGTCTCCATTCCAGTACCAGGCCTGAAACCTGATTGAAATGGATCTAGAACATGGGTCCCCAAACTACGGCCCGCATGCTGGATCCGGCCCACCATGCGCATTTATCCAGCCCACCTCAGAGGTTTTGGACTCGCTCAGAGAAAATGATCTCTGAGGAGTCCAAAACCTCTGAGCCAGCGTAGGCATTCTCAGAAACTGAGCAGAGAGGAAGAGAGCTGATGTATACCCAAACTGCAACAGCTCAACTGCGCGTACTCCGGCTCTCCCCCACCCCCTCCATTGCACACACATACAGAGTGGGAATACGGAGCGGGAAACAGACGAGAGGTGGGCAGAAGAGAAAGAGAGATGAAGACGGTGAAGACGAAGAAACTAAAAAAGGATTGAAAGTAAGTAAAATATAACTTTTTAAATCTATTTTTAATTATGCGAGCCCTGGGGCAGCCAGCTGTGCGGCCTTGTCCATGCAAGCCATCACCTCGCTGAGCCAGGGGCACACAGGCTGAGGCAGGGCAGCTTACTCAGAGAAAGCCGCAGTGGAGAAAGCTTACTCAGAGAAAGCCGCGGGGCTCCTGTGCCTCCGCCACAGCCTTCTCTGAGCAAGTGATCAAACATTTTAATTTTTAAATTCATGTTAATTTTAATTTTTAATGTGCAGTATACATAGGAATTCATTCTTTTTTTTTTCAAACTATAGCCCCCATCCCACCCCGTCTGAGGGAGAGTAAACTGGCCCCCTGTTGAAAAAGTTTGAGGACCCCTGATCTAGATGACCTGTTTCATTCAAGAATGCCTGGGGCTGGTCAGCCATCACATGCTCAAGCACCTTACCGAGGAAGGGGATGATGGCCACTGGTCTATAGTTGTTGGCATCCTCTGGATCCAGGTTAGGCTTTTTCAGGAGTGATTTAATTACAGCCTCTTTTAGAGGGGCTGGCACCTCTCCCTCTCTCAAGGCAGGGAGAGGTACCAGCCTTTTGGACCTAAGCAGAAATCCCTTCCTTAATTAATGTAACAAGCTGTCAGGGACATGGGCCATCCACACAGGTGGTGGACTGGAATTGACAAAGCACCTTGTCCACATCCTTGGGCTTCAGTAACTGAAGCTGATCCAGTAAAGCTGTGCAAATGTCTCAGCTGCCCAAGACATTTCTGCATTCTACAGAGTGACCTAAGGTTCAACAGGAACACCAGCCACAGCAGCTGGAAACTCCCCTAGAGCTCTTTGGAGACCACCAGGATCCATTAGCCTCCAGAATGAACAACTTTTAAAGGCCCTACACCCTTGCAAAAGTGGAGCTGAAAGTCTGAACTTGAGCAAGAAGTGATCTGATGATATCAAAGGGCTTCATGTTAATTCTTCCACTTCTAGATCACCATCCTTCTGTCTAGTCGAGAAAGCCAGCCAGAGTGTGTGTTTGCATGTGTTGGGCCAATAACATGTTGAGACAGCCCCCTGTTTGTCAGGGTGGCTGTAGAGTCCTGAGCTGCCCCAGATAAGTTCCCCCGGAACCATCATCCTGGGGGTCCTCCATCAGCTCAGGCAGGGAATCTGATGGGCAGTAGGGTGGGCAGTACAACAGCAGAATCCCTAATCTGTTTCAAGCACCCAGCACAAGATAAAAGCACTCAAGTGAACAGGAAGCCTAGACAGGGAGATCGTATTCCTACAGCCTGCAACTGCTCCCCATCTCCAGCCCTCAAATCAATGCTGATGCTGTACAAGCTATCCAGGAGGGCAAGCCAGGTCAGCCCCCTCATCCACATGAATGATATTCTGGGCTGACCTGGCATTTGGCGGCAGCAGCACCAGACCTGAGGGCAGGTTGGTAAGGCTGTCAGGAATAATTCAGTTGGGAGTAAAATCTGAAGAGGTGGAACTGTGAGGTACCTAGCCCTCTTCTCCACAGCTGGCTTGCTGATCCCCCAATGCCATACCTCCCCCTACCCAGGATCATGGTTATGGGGGCACCCTCTTGCTTCCCAAAGTTACCCAGACACATAATTAGATATACGATGAAATTTAAATCATGTTATCATATATAATAAAAACAAACCAGCTGCTATGTTTCTAAGCTGATCAATGGCAATTGTGAGACTGTCCTACAGTAGGTCCTGAAGCATTCCCCAAACAGGCACCAAGCAGGCAATGCCTTGGACACCTCTTCCTGAAGTAGCCACAGTGGTGGTGGCCCTGCCTCTGCAGTCAGGAGCAGGTGGCCATTCCACGGGACAGGCAGGCAAGGCAGAAAAAGCAGTCTCCTTTCCCTGCCTTGGGCTTCCCTCCCTAAAGTAGCCACTGGTGGTGACAGCCCTGTCTCTGGGGCACAGCTGGGGGCAGGTGGCCACTGCACACGGCAGGCAGGGAAAGCACTCCTTAACTAGACTACTCAGGGCCTACAATTATTGGACATTCACATAAAAAGAAGCAGCCAGTCAACTAGACATGTTTCCATCAGAGTTGGCTTTGTGCATTCCTACTTATATTTACTTGAAGGTAAGCCCCATTCAATGAGAGTCTTATGTAAATGTGAGAGGATTATAGCCTAAGCACAGCACAGCATTTTAAATTTGTTGTGACAATGCCATTCATAGCAAATCTGCTCCATGTATCAAAATAAAGTAAGCTCTTGCCTATGAAAGTTCTTCCCACTATTTTGAATCTTTCAAAAGATACCACAGCTCTATTTTTGGCAGCTATTCATAGTGCCATTAGTTTTATGGAATGCATGTATAGTCTTCCAGGGGTCACAAGAGATTCTTTGGTGTTTTATGAAATGATCCTGTTGGCCAAGTGTGGGAGGCATCCTGCGATACTATGTCTTAGTGTGACAATCAAAAGGTTCTGCCTTTTACAGTGCAGACAAAGAGGCACTTGAATGTGTGAACTATCAAGCTAAGTATCTCCTAACAACATCAACTGAAGGTATAAATACAATTAATTCTACTAGGAAACATTAACTTATACAAACTTTGATATATCAGAATGAGAATTTTTTAAAAATGTACTTGAATCCCACTACTTCCAGCCATCAAAAGTTGGCATAAGTTAAAACAGTTGTAATTAATAAAATAGGATGACTAGGATTCTAAATGATTTGATAACCTGATTCTTCCTGCCAAGTACCTTCCTCTGTCCCTTTAAGCTCCTCCTCAGTTATTCAGAAAGTGTTTTCCGAGCCACAATAGCTTCAGCCTCTTTTATAGAGTTTGCTACCTCTTAACCTTTGCCTACTACTCATACAGCTTCCTTGGCAAGCAGAGTTGTCAACTTTAAAAGCAGAAGAGTTGGGGCTGTTAAAAAATAGCTTGATGCTTGCAAGGGATAATGCTCATCTCATGGCCACCATGAACTAATGTCTGCAAAATAAACTGCTGCTGGAAACACAAACAGGTTAAGCCAGTTCCCCCTCCCCCTTGATTAAGAAGCAGCCCTATTATTAGGCCTTTCCCCTTTTCTGATATGATAATTCAGAGTACATTTGCAGGAAATCTAAGTATTTTCCAATAGAACATACATGTATTTAAGCAAGTCCTTCATGCAAGGCCCATCCATGCCTCTTCTGTAACAGCACCAGCTACATGTTGGTACAAAATAATGTAATGTAGCAGTAATGAAACATGATTTAATGCCTAGTTCTCCAACCCTGCCAGATTATATACTTAGCTCTACAGAAAGCCCCTCTTGAGTTGATTCATACATTATACAAGGAATATGAAACTTGTAAATAGATTACCAGATCATGGGCACAGAAGATACATGTCTGTTACTGTTATACAAGATGATTTACTATTTACACATAGAAGCTTTAACTGTGTCCTCTAAATTGCAGAAGAAACAACAAGGAAGTCAGCTTTAAGGTGTATTTTAACATATTAGGCAGCAAATAATATGATAAATAAAACAA